TCACTCAATTCACCTTTCTTTGGAATCTTAAAAATCCCACTTTTCCACTTAGATGGTATCACCCCACTCTCCTTAATTTTATTAAACAACTTAACGAAAACCATCAAGCTATTTTCATTCACTTCAAGCATCTCTGAAAAAAATTCATCCTCCCCAGGTACGTTAGTTATTCATTGTTTTATTGCCTTCTCAACTGCATTTACCGTTATCTCTCCACTCTTTATATCCAAATCATTTTCCGCAGCGGGTATATCCTCCTTCGATGGTATCGGTCTATTTAGTACAGTTTCAAAGTGTTCCTTCCATCTATTCCTTATGTCGTTATCTATAGACAGTAAATTTCCCTTGTCTTCTTTTGTCCCTCCTAGTCAATCTCCTGACCAGAATGCAAACTCCTCTACTCTGCCCTTGCTAGCTCGATTTCGCGATCATCAATCCTACTTGCTTCACTCCTTAGCCTTGCATTTCTCCTCTTCTTAATCATACCCCACGTTTCTTCCGACATCCACTTCCTTCTCCTAGCTGTGCGCCTTCTGATCGTACAATCTGCAAGTTCTTTCAAAACTTTCACATCACCCCATATATCATCAGCAGTCATCTCCTCCTCCAAAGCTTCCAACGCCACAAACCTATTCCTACACTCTCCTTTAAATCCTCCATTTCCTCTCCATCCCTTTTAAACAGATCAATATCGTACCCACATACCCTAGCATTCCCTTTTTGGTTCAAGTTTAAATCTTAATTTTGATTCCCCAAGTTGATGATCACTGCCATCACCTCCTCGTTTTACACAAACATCCAACAAAAAACTCTGTTGCCTCCTACTGATGGCAATATGATAAATTTGATTTTTGTGCTTGCTGCAAGGCGAAGTCCACGTAGTTTTGTGTATGTCGCGGTGTTGAAAAAGTGTGCCCCCGATGACCAAATCATTTGCTAAACAAAATCTAGTCCCATTTTCATTCATTCTACTTCCAGCGCCTAACTTCCCCATTCATTTCTCAAACCCTTCATTAGACCTTCCCAAAACTGCGTAAAAGTCATCAAAGCACAGCAGAAAACATGCCTGGCGACTCTTCCTAATGGTTCTTGTAGCTTCTCATAAAAATAATCTTTCATGTCATCGGGCGCATTGTTTGTAGGGGCGTAACAAACCAGCATACTGATGTTGCCGTGCACTGACTTAAACCTTGCATAGAGCAGACGGTTATCAATAAGTTCCCACTCACTTAAAGCTTTATTTGCATTCCGACTAACTACCAAGCCAACCCCTTGTAGTGAAAGACATCCCTTCTACCAGATATCAACATACTCCATCCTCAAAATTCATTGTCTATTCCATTCAGTTGTCTCTGCCACAGCACATATGTCTAAATCGTATTTTTGAAAATTTGAGACCAATTCCTCCATTATTACTTCCTGTCTCAGTGTTTTTACATTCCAATTTCCAATCTTTATTGCCGTTTTCGCACTAATAAGCCTACCTAAAGACCATGAGATCCCTAGCACCCCTTGCCCAGTTAAGGGCTGCACGGGATTAGCAGCCATATTTTCATCTTCTGAATTCCTTAAGGTTTCTTTGGCTAGATATATGGACGCTTCGCCGCAATATCTCAGTAGCAGTGGATAGCTAACTTGTCCAGTTGCCCAGCTATGCTAAGGCTAAGCGCGTGCTGGCGTGCTCCAAATCGGCCACTGACAAGTGCTTCTGCCCGACGGAGTATCCACCCTCCTGACTGCCAACGGTAGAGGACGATCATTTCCTCACTAACCCAACACTAACAATTATAGTGTAGGCCACACTCACCACGTATATATATATATATATATATATATATATATATATATATATATATATATATATATATATTATATATATATACACACACACACACGTGCGTGTGTGTTTGTAGTGTGGTTTATGTGTGTGTTCATATATATATATATATATATATATATATATATATATATATATATATATATATATATATATATATATATATATATCTTGCTCAGCCCTTGTATATATTTTTTCTCTCTCTCATTCATTGTTTTCTCTCTCCCTTAACTCCTCTCGTTCACCTTGTCAACGTTCTGTTGCTACGTACGAATTTCTTATTGCGTATTTGCGTATTTTTCAGGGAAGGAGAAAGAAACCTAGGTCTAGATCTACTTCTCCACGTAAGTACCCTCCCCCCTCTCTCTCTCCCTCCCCCCCCCCCCCCCTCTCTCTGTCTGTCTCTATCTCTCCCTCCCCTCCTCCCCCCTCTCTCTGTCTGTCTCTATCTCTCCCTCCCTCCCCCCCTCTCTTTCTCTCTCTCTCTCTCTCCTCTCGCTCATTCTCACGCTCACTCTTTCTTTCTCTCTCTCCCTTTCTCTAATTCTCTCTCTTTCTCTATCTATCTATCTCGAATTCTCTCTCTCATTCTCGATCTCTAATTATCTCTTTCTCTCTGACTCTCTCTCCCTCCTTCCCTGCCTCTCTCCCGCCCACTCTCTC